AAGACCCGGCCGTCCCTCTAAACTTTCATCTGGAACAAGGAGAAGACTGATCAGAGATGCAGCCAAGAGGCCCATGATCACTCTGGATGAACTGCAGAGATCTACAGCTGAGGTGGGAGAGTCTGTCCATAGGACAACAATCAGTCGTACACTGCACAAATCTGGCCTTTATGGAAGAGTGGCACGAAGAAAGACATTCCTCAAAAATATCCATAAAAAGTGTTTAAAGTTTGACACAAGCACCTGGGAGACACCAAACATGTGGAAGAAGGTGCTCTGGTCACATGAAACCAAAATCCAACTGTTTGGCCACAATGCAAAACGATATGTTTGGTGTAAAAGCAACACAGCTCATCACCCTGAACACACCATCCCCACTGTCAAACATGGTGGTGGCAGCATCATGGTTTGGACCTGCTTTTCGTCAGCAGGGACAGGGAAGATGGTCAGAATTGATGGGAAGATGGATGGGGCCAAATACAGGACCATTCTGGAAGAAAACCTGTTTGAGTCTGCAAGAGACCTGAGACTGGGACGGAGATTTATCTTCCAACAAGACAATGATCCAAAACATAAAGCCACATCTACAATGGAATGGTTCACAAATAAACGTATCCAGGTGTTGGAATGGCCAAGTCAAAGTCCAGACCTGAATCCAATCGAGAATCTGTGGAAAGAGCTGAAGACTGCTGTTCACAAACGCTCTCCATCCAACCTCACTGAGCTCGAGCTGTTTTGCAAAGAAGAATGGGCAGAATTTCAGTCTCCATGTGTAAAACTGACAGAGACAAACCCCAAGAGACTTGCAGCTGGAACTGCAGCAAAAGGCGGCGCTACAAAGTATTAACGCAAGGGGGCCCAATAATATTGCACGCCCCACTTTTCAGTTTATTTGTTAAAAAAGTTTGACACATCCAATAAATTTAATTCCACTTCACGATTGTATCAGGTCCCTGGTTCAAATCCCGGTCCGGGGGCCTTTCTGGGTGGAGTTTGTATGTTCTCTCCGTGCATGCGTGGGTTTTTTCTGGGTACTCCAGTTTCCTCCTACAGACCAAAAACATGTATGTTAGGCTTATTGGTAACTCTAAATTGCCCCTAGATGTGAATGAGAGAGTGAATGGTTGTTTGTCTCTATGTGGCCCTGTGATGGACTGGAGACCCGTCCAGGGTGTACACTGCCCCTCACACAGTGGCTGCCGGACATGGACACCTGCAACCCCCGTGACCCAAAATGGAAGAAGCGGGTAAAAGATAACTGCGGTTTTTCACTTATCGCGGGGTTTCAGGGTACGGATCCCCCGTGATAAACAAGGGACTATACGGAGAAAATTCACACATCCACAGAAAAGGACTGCAGCCGAATGTGAGGCAACAGCTCTAACCACTGCTCCTCCATGTTGCCCCTTGTATTTTGTCAGAACATCGTTACTAAAATGACCAGACTTTTCCTTTAAATGATGGTAGAGTCATGGCGGAGGCAGAGCGTGAGCACTGTCATGTGTTGTTGTGATAACAGCCATGCGAGCTACTTTCCCAGCTGCAGCTACACAGAGCACGGCATGGCCATATGCCCCCCCACCCCCACCTCAAACAGTAAACAGTGGTTTCAGTAGGTCTGGCCAGTTAAACGGGTGGAGGACTTGACTGCCTCAGTCATCCTGACTCGGAGCATGAGTGTTACTGTAGGTCAGCCATTTCCCTGGAATGTTCTGGCTGCTGCCAAAGAGAAGTCACTACAAAGGAATGCACACATAGAGCAGAAACACAGGGATGACTTAAAAAGGCCTGAAAGTGAGAAGGCAGCATTCACAGCTCTCCACATGCCTCCCCCTGTTTAGCACTTTTGGACATGACTGCTGCCAGGACATGCTGTTATGAAACACATGGGTACCCATCTGTAACTTCGTGTAACACTATGAGCACTAGTCTGAAAGGAGACCGTTAGGATCAGGGCTGCCATTAGAAACAGATGAATCAGAACCTGACTTGCTTTTTTATCACTCTTTGTCTTGCCTTTCTTCTTGCTGCTCCGGAAGTGAGACTGCTGCAGCAGTGACGGCTCAAGGGTCAGCCGCCTGCACCCCCTCTGCTTTTCTTCGTGGCTGTATGGGCTCCGTGCTGTGACATTGTGAAATGACTGCAGCAGATTGGAATTGTGCATGATTGTACTATGCGGCAGGTCGTGGGGGTGTGCGGGGAGGGGGGAGGCAGCTGCAGCGTGTGGAGCGTAGAGGTGGTAGTGGTGGTGGGGTGAAATGGAGAGAGAAAGATGGAGAGAGAAAAAATGAAGAAATGGGAAATCTCAGGAACCTGTTTCCAGGGCAACAGAGGTCTGAAGAACACAGACAGGTTGGACTGTTTATTCTCCACACTGCACTGCCCTCTGGCAGGATGCTGCACACACCTCTAATGACTCCAAAGCGCCGGATGGCCTTGCTGCTAACACACTGCCAGGCTTTAACACACACACACGCACACACACACACACACCACCTCTCTGCATGTATGTGTGCACAGAAGAATAATTTCTCAGACAAATATAATATGCATGAAAGCCCTGCAGGTGCAGTAATGGCAGCGAGTAGAAATCACATACCATGTGGCATGCTGCATAGATCACACACATTTGTGATCATCTGTAGGTGACGTCATTCTGGACGATACTCCCCTCCTCCTTTCCTTTTCTCCAGAAGTGATCTCCTTCTCTGATCCGCAGACATTTAGACACCAGACTTCAAGAGGAGGGACAGGAAGAAGAAAAAAAACCTCTCTGTGGGAGACATGTTCTCTGTGATGTCATGAATAAATTAAAGAGAGTTATTGAGCAATAAGGAAGGGAAACAAAGCTGCCATTTCAAACACAGCAGCTTATTGTAATTGTGGCTATAACTTTATGGTAATTCGAACTAATAAGTTGCACTAAATAAAATGAACGGGGCACAAAATAAATGGTCAGAAAACGCAAACACATGTTTAAATTGTTGAATGTGAAAAGACAAATAACAGTGATAATGATTATTATTACCAGTCCTGCTACAGTCATTACATGGTGATCAAGCAGCATCGCCTTCTCGTTAACCCGACTGCGACACGAGTAGATAATGCTGCGTTTAAGTACCTCGGAAGTTGGCGTTTGGATTTCGAAATAACGACCTTTTTTTTTTTTTTTTAAATATTGTTGTCAAAATCAAAATATTTTTTTCAATTAGCACTAACATAAGATACTGGCCAACAAAATTACAGCTCAAATAACGGATCAAAACAAAAGAGTGATAAAATGAAAACAAATATACTGTTTGCTTTTTCGTATTTTTTTTTTATATATTTTTTTATTTTAAGAACATCGTAGACCACCTTTTCATCATACGAGGAAAAATGAAGAAGATGTAAAGTCTTGATGCGTTACCAAAAAAATAATCCAACTTCTTAGGGCGTTTTTTAAATAGCGTGTCGATGTCGGAGGTTGCGAATTCTCAGCATTCCTCGAACGCAGCACTTGCTCATGTTGAGCTAAGCTAACAAACTGCACGTAAACCCGCCGCATTGTCTGGCAGCTCGAGCGCGCTCAAGGTAAGTTCACGGACACTCGTTTCAAAGACACCGGCTTAAAGCGTTTAGTTAGCCGCTTCTGCTAACGGCGAGCTAGCTGCTCGTGTGGCTACACAAAGGAGCTGTGGTAAAAACTTAACACCGAGCTAAGTGGGCTCCAGTTAGCTGAGGGTGGCAGCCAGCGGCGTGTTAAAGCCCCTCCACGGCTCTGCCTCCGGTCGTGTGCTGGCACTTAAACACAACACAAAGTTAACGAAGCGCCGCTTTCACCAGAAACTGGATCTGCACTTTGTGCTGCGTTTGAGTGTCCGCGTTATGATGCGGAGCAGGTAGGACAAACATCTGCTGCTCTTATTTTACTGATGGATCTCACACACTGTGCTGAAATGCTTTGTTCTGCTCTGCTGCATGTTTGTGTTTGCACTGTACAAGAAGGTGAGGTTTTTATTTATTTATTTATTTTGGGAAATGAATTAAGTGTTGACTAACGCGCTTTGCAAAACAAAAACAAACAAAAGGAGGGAAGGCTGCACTGTACTGGAAAAACAAAACTGATGTTGCGAACAAGACTTGAAAATATAATTAGCTTTTTTTTTTAACAAAAGGGGAAAATGACTAAAAAATTACATCTGAGTTTTAAAGTTTCATCATCTTTACCCGCTTCTTCCTTTTCGGGTCATGGGGGTCACTGGTGTCCATGTCCAGCCATCACTGGGAGAGGTGGGGGACACCCTGGACAGGTCTCCAGTCCATCACAGGGACACCTAGAGACAACCATTCACTCTCTCTCACCTAGAGGCAATTTAGAGTCACAATCAGCCTAAGATAAAAAAAGGACTTTAGGTTATTTTCTAAATTTTCATCACACCTGAGTTAAATGATGGATGATCAGCAGGCTATGGATGATCAGCAGGCTATGGATGATCAGCAGGTTTTGACGGCACGTCGAGGACGAAGTTCAACCATCTGAGTCAAGCAGGACGAGGGGACAAGTGTCAAACAGGAAGCTGAGGACCAGGACTGGGGAGCACTTTGTTCCATAGTTGTCTTGTAATTTGAGAGTGCTTCACTTCTGGTTTTACCTGTACATAACTTTGTAGTGCACGGCCTCTTGATTCTGGGAAGCATCATGCTGGGGGATCTTTTGCTTCATATTGAAATCCCACTTCTTAAACACAGTTACTGACTGAGTTTGGAAAACGTTTATTTCTTGAGCTTGAAAGGCATTGAATTAATCGTCTTCTGTGTAATTGTTTTTTTTTTGATGCGTTCTTGATTAAATAATGCACAACTAAAGTCAACACTATAGTGCACTACAAAATATATTGGGGCACGATTAAATCTTTTTTTTAAACATTTCAATAAGTAAAAGAGGAGGTCCAATATTTCATGAATATTGACCCATTCCAACTAAAATCTAAACTAACAAATCCATCCAGTTGTACATACAATATTTTGCTAACAGACAAGGTTGAAACCAACAGTTAATGCCAAACTTTTAAGTGAAATTATTGCGTAATGTTGATTAGCTCTTGCAGCCATCTTGAATTGGGTTGTTTTTAAAAATGAGTTGTTGGCGTACGGACGATGTTTATTTTCTGAAAATAGAATCTGAACGCAGGTTTATGGGACGCTTTAATGCTACAGACAAACGAACACGGTCAGAAACATCGTCACCCTTTGGCCTTCAGCGAGAATGACCGTGCTGGGATTGTGTCCTGTTTGTTGCTTTGTTCACAACAACTTTAGTTTCATTGGAAGTTTAGCCGGACCACCTTCAGAAACAAAGTTTACAACACAGCTGTTGTGTGATACATGTTTTTCTAGAAGTATAACTCGTTCAGGACATAAAGCTGCATCCTTTAGTAAACTCGCACCTCTCTTCTGTCTGCTTGAGTTCACGTGGACCAGTTCGTTGAGGCGTTGAGCTAACATTAGCATCTGTCTCATACTTTATGGTCATACTGACAAAACTTAGTGAAAAGTTGTCCTTCCATCATTTCAGTGTTATTCTGCTATGGATTTTGAGCGATTTTGAGCGATTTCCCTCACATCAACGCAGACCGACAGGTTCGGAGGCTCGTTCGTGGTGGAAGTCCTAAAGCCCTGATGCTGTTTGATTTTCAGGTGTTTGAACAGATTAGATGTGTTGCTGAGTGTCAAGGAGCAGACGTGTTCTGTTTGATGGCTTATCCACCTGGATTATTGCGCATGCACCACGACATCTTGGAGAAGATGTGTTTTTGATCTATGAATTCAGTGTTTCCACACAAACTACTGACCCGACTACCTTTCTGTTACTAAACTCTGCTGCTCTCTCTCTTCTGCCATTTTTACTCCGCACGTGTTTTTAAACGACCAGTGGACAGGACCTTCGTTTAGACTGCAAATAACGAGGAAGTGCCCCAAATTGAGAATGCAAGACCAAAAAAATAAACCCAAAAATGGAATGTGACAAAATAATTTTTATTTAAAAAAATAAATAATAATTTGTATTACATTGCTTTTGTAAGTTTCGGTCACAATTGAAAATTTAAATACTCATTTTATTAATTGCACAGTCCTGTTGTGTCAAATTAAATATTTTTTCAAATTGGCTATGCCACCTCAAGTTATTGTGTTAGTTGTGCAGGATAATACTAATAGGGCTGGGAATATGATCTATTTTTAGGTTGAAATTGAATATTTTCAATTATTCTACAAATCTCAAGAATGAATTTCTTGAACGTTAATCTGCAGAGTAGTTTCAACACGATGTTGGTTTTTCACCATTTTCAGCCTTTCTCTGCTGGACTCTAAAGAATATATTGTCTGAAAATAACAGCTGAAGTTACGATCACATTGTAGTTTGTAATAATAACTATAACATTGTGTTTGTGCGTATATTTCCTATGATCAACACAATGCTAATGCTTATCTCAGCTTTTGGCATATGTTGCAGCAAACTCTTTGTTAGGTAAGAAAATATGTAACGCCAGAGTCATTTCAGTTTGTGTATTTCAGTTTCACAGTGTTTTTTTATATAATAATAATAATAATCATTTTATTTAAAAAGCGTCTTTCATGACACCCAAGGACACTTGACATCATATGTTTATTCACAAGCCTGACAACTGCAGGAAATATAAATGCATAAATATTTTATTTCATAATCATCTGAATCATAATGAAATCATGATGTACCTAAAGACGTCCACCTCTCCTAAGAGTGCCTCATTTTTGTTGACATTATATTGTTACCAGAATGTTTCACAAACTTGACTTTTTGTTTTGCTAGAAATTAAATTTATTTATTTATTTTTCTTTCCTTTCTTTACACCTAATCTGTGCAGGTTTCCTTTTGCTGCTTTTAACTTATAGACATGATGTGATGAAGGAAAATTAATTGGAAACAAAAAATAAAAATGTTAAAACAAATTTCCACTGGTTGCTTTTCACTGGAAATTAGGGGCCTAGCCCAAACCCTGACTAAAACGTGACTTACCAGTTACCAGGCATGACCAAACGCCATCTTTAATCATAAAGTGTACCTTTTGAAAACTAATGCAGAATATGACACTTTTGATGTGATGTTTATTATCTTGGATGACTTACGTTCTTGGTCAGGTGTGAAGACTATGTACTCGTTGTATTTTTAACTAACGAGACACAAACACCTGTATTCAGGTGACTACGTACACACAGAGGAAAAAAAGTGCATTATGATTCATACGAACCTATTTGGCATACAATATGTTACACAACAGTTATTTTGCCATGCATGGGTTGTTGTTGTGTTTGAGCGTGTCTCTGAGGTGAGGTAGCCAGTGTCAGTTTTTCCCTCTGGCTTTGACTTCCTGGATGTATCATGGGTACAACATGTTGTCATGGCATGACGCCAGACTCTGTTAGGTTGGGTCTACTTTTACGCTAAAAGACTGTTGTCCTGTTATTTTGTTCTTAGAAACTTAAGGAGGGAGTACAAATTGGTGACTGACAACAAAGAGGCAAAAAACTTTTATTAAGCTAAAAGAAAATCAGCAGAAATGTATAGAAAAAGCTAAATAGAGCTGACATGTAGCAGAAAAGAGCAGAATAAGCTGAAATAGACAGAGAGGCTGAATGGATTAAAACGAACTTGAAATTAGCAACAACAACAAAAAATTACTAAAGTTATCAAAAAAAAATTGAAATTAGCAACCGAAAAGTCACTGAAAAAGCTGAACTTAGCAGAAAGGGCCAAGATGGCCGCGCTCACGCGGAGCCGCAGCTTCACGGGCTCCCGGTGAAAACCCAGTTTTTATTAGTTTTGAAATCGGCTTCGAGCCTGACTGCACGCTTTAAGCATGTAAATTATGGTCGAACCGAAGTTATGATCATAAGAGAAGGTTCGACTCTGGACACAGTGAATCAACAACGATCGGAAAACTATGCTCGGCAGACTGCAGCTTCTACAGACATCAGCATGGAGGCAGCTGCACTCTTAACGGAAACAGGAGGCGCTGTGCGCAGGCGAAGTAAAGAGGGAGACGAGCCGGAGTGTTAGCAAGACTCAAAGCTAATGCTAATAAACTCCCAATCCCGTCAGTCTTCCTGTCCAACTTTCACTCTTTTGAAAACAAGCTGGATCTGCTGCGACTGACAGTGAGTGTCTCAGAGGAGATGAGGAACTGTGCTGTACTCTGTCTCACGGAAACATGGCTTAATAGCGACATGCTAGACTCAGCCTGCCAACTGGATAACAGACTTGTTTTCGAGCGGACCGCTGCAGCAAGCTAATGGGGAAGACACGGTGAGGTGGAGTGTGTGTCTAGGTAAACAAAGGTTGGTCCACAAACTGTGTTCTGATAAACGGTTCCTGCTCCGAGGCTTTAGAACAACTCACTGTGAAATGTCGACCACATTATTTACCGCTTGAGTTTATGACGTGTTTATCATTGTTGTCTATGTAGCCCGGATGCTTTTTTTTTTTTTTTCATTCAACCATTATTTATACAGTTTAGTCTCATTACGAGAGACCTGATTAAATGCTAATGCTAAAG